TATATATATATATATATATGTAAAAGTTTGTCACAGGTGAACTGCAGTTTTCTGCCAAAGTCAAGCTCACCTTCTTGGTGAAAACCTCCTGGTTATTCTGGATGTGTTTGTACCAAACAGACTTCAGGATGGAGGCGAAAGGAGTCACTCCGATTCCAGCACCAACTAGCATTACTACCTCATAATGAAACACGTCCTCACTGGCGGTACCAAACGGGCCGTCAATGGCTACCCTGTGAGCAAAGAGATAAAATAAAAAAAAGGATTAAAATTAAATCTTTTTAATTAAAATTAAAAAAGATAAAAATATTTTAATTATTGTTTTCTTGTTCGAAGTATCTCCTGCATGTTTTTGGACTAATTTCTTCTACAGACATTCAGCTCATTCAGGTCTTTAGTTTTTGTAACTTTTAAAAATAATTGTAACTATTTGTTTAAATATTTTTTTCAATAAAAAAATGGAGACCTGTTTAACAAACCGTGTCCTCTAAATTTTTCTTCAGCATATTTGCTTCATTATTAAGTTTTAGCTACTTTTTTTGCCAGTTTAGCCTTTTTGCTGCTAACTTGCACCTTTTATGTGTACAGCACTTTGGTCAACACCTTATTCAAAAAATGTATGCCTAAAAACTGATTTTGCTTGTATTAGTAACTGTTTTGCTAATTAAAACCTTCAGTTACTGTTTGATAGGTTTAACAACTCGTATTATTTTAACATTAATCTGTCTTTTATTATGAATTTTGCTTTCAGCTACTGTTTTGCCATTTTAGGTTTTAACAAATATTTTGCTATGTAGTTTTAAGTTATAGTTACTGTTTTGATCATTTTAACTTTTAGGTATTTAGTTGGTTCTAACTTTTAGTCCTCATTTGGCTAATTTTAGCTTTCTGTTCTTTAGTTTTGTTAATTTTATCTTTTGTTTTCATCTATTTAACTTTAACAACTCAATTCAAATATCAGCACATTCTTCCTAATGCCTTAGCTGATTTATTTTACACCACTGATATCTTTGACTCAGCTGGTATGAAGAAACAATATTATAAACAATAATAGTTTGTAAAGTGTCACAGTTGTTTATACGGCAAGTTTTCAGGTAGTTTGTTTACTGTTTAGTTTTAACCCACTTTTACAAAGAAGGGAGTTTATTCTGTTTGAAAAAGAAATTTTGATGCCTGTTTCATTAAGATACACTGAGCTGTTTGATTTATGGTTACAAATGTGTTTATAGCTAATGTTTTTTTTGGTATCAGGGAAGCAGGAAAATGTTTAAATCAACCCAAACTTAAGATCTGAATAGTGGCCACAGTATCTGATTCTGTTCAACATAAAAAACATAGACAATGAAACTTTTTGTGGTTGTTTTTCTCTAGTTGAAGCTCCAGCTAAGTCGCAGTTTTAAACAATGTGACGGTTCAGTCAGTCCAACGTGTGTGAGCAAAGTGAGCAGAGGCGAATGTCTGCGAGGAGCATTTTCACGGAGGCAGCGGTGCTGAAGTCTTTCATTGTCTGCCTTAAAGATAAATGAAGAAAGCTCCAATTTGCTCAGCAGGACCACCGTCGATTAAAGTCTGAGATGCAATTCTTATAACAGTTTGATTTCAGTGCTTTCTACTCATTTCAGAGCTGAACAAGCAACAGAAATCTACAATAAACCACCCACAGCTCTGAATGTTACCCCTTCTGTCAGCTTCTCTAAGGAGAATTTGATCGGTGGGACAGAAACTAGGCAATTTCACAAACAATGTCTCTTTTTTAAGCCTCCAGTTGTCTTGGTATCATACTTGGGCAGCTTCCAGGCCTCTTGCTGTTCGGTTTTATCCCCCCCGCAGGCTTCGTACAGCGCCTGGGTCCAGTCGCCAACAATTCGGATGTGGGCGCTGAAGTAGTCTTCCTCTGGAGCCGAGGTCAGGGTGAAGGGGTGCCACTCCAGCCTGGAGACAGACGGACACTGGATGAAGACATATTGTCCCACCTCCATTCGGAAACCTTTCTTCTTCATCTGCAGCTCCAGAGTCTTGGAGGGGTGCATGACCACCTGTGGACCGAGTCAGGGTCAGTGTTACACAAGATAAATACAGCAGCTGGAACATTGCACTTCAAAGGGTTTAAAGGGAAACACACCTTGGTAATGACAACTTTCTGATGGGACCGGTAGATCCGAACAAGCCTCTCAAACACATAGAGGATCATCGAAGCCAAAACCCACTGCCAGGTCTGAAGAACAGGAAAATATACACAGTGATGTCAACTGGTTAAATTAACATCTGATAAACATACAGTGTGAACAAGTGCTGAGCAAATGCTGAGGTTTACTGAAGAATATAAAACTGAAGCAACACTAGCTCGAGGCTAAAGAAGCAAAAAGCTCTTTAATTACTAAAAGTAATGGAAAATAAACAAAAGATTAACTACGAGCTGAGAGTAGCCAAAGACTAGCTAAAAGATTAGTAGCAAAAGTATTAAAAGTCTAGTGAAAATGTAAAAGTAGCACAATGCTAGTCAATTGTATCAGAAAGATAGCTGAAAATTAATGTAGCAAAAAGCTTTCATCAAGCCAATTGAATGATAAAAGTAGCTAAAAGAACAAAAAGGCAACAACAGAGTCAGAACAATGGCTTGAGTTAATCGAAAAGATCCTAATGTGTTTTAATAGGGAAATATTTGCAAATAAAGTGAAACCCTGTGAAACGTATAAAAATTACAAGAACTTAACACTTATTTCTTGAATGAGCTGAATGTTTTGATATATAATTGCCTAAATTGTACAAGATATTCAGAATATAAAACTTGTGTGCTAAATCACACATTTGTTGTAAATGAAGCCTTTTCAGTAGATAAACATAATGGAAGATGTTCAGCGAAGCTTACCCCCGGGGGGTTTCCAGCAAACTCTGGTACGTCACAGCCAGACGCATTCTTCCCCCAGTCCTCAAACCGATCAGCACAATTATCCGGTTTGTTTGTTTGGAGGCTGGCGAGAGTCTGTCCCCTCACAATACGCCTGCCGGCACAAACAGAAACATGACAGGTCAGGAGGAAGACAAACTATTGGCTTCAAAGATCAGTGTAAAAATACAGTCTTTACCCATAACCGTGGAACACCAAGCCGATGAAAAAGATGACGAAAAGGTGGTGCGTGTACCAGAACACCTCAAAGTATGACCTGCGGATGACCTCCATGGAGGAGGTGATGATGAGAATGAGAGCCAGCGTGATGACCACCCCTGTCAGCCCCGCAATGGTGGTGAACATGACGATGGTGGGGTTCTGCACCAAAAAATACATTTTTATCACTTCTGTCTGACAAAGAGCAGTGCCTATCATTCACCCATTACGATTATTTATCAAACTACACATAAAAATAAGCAGCTCGGACAAGATACCACGGTGACATGATTAGCAAAAAACAACACCCAGAAAACCCTACAGAAAATAAAAGCAGATCTTTGTGACCAAATCAGAGAAAGTTAGGCAACGGCCTCTTCCTGTCCCGTATATCTTCCAATATTTATACAAATATTTGTCAAAATGTACTGTAGATATTCTTGTCTACTTGCTGCCAATATTTTTATTATTGCTCTATCAAATTCCACCAGAAAGCAAAGTTTCCATGTAGGATTTAATCAGACCCAATTAAAATTAATTTGACTTCGTCCTTCTGACTGGGGTGAGGAGGGATGTTTTGAATTTGTCATTTCTTTGACATAAAACATTGTAAAAATGTCTCTTTTTCCACTTCCATACAAAATAATTTCAATATGTCAGTTTTACACAGCTACTGTTGGTTTGAATCAAACCTTGCCAGGCATTTCTTTTAAATCTTGTACATTAAACAGGGTGGCTGTGACAGAGTTGTTAGGGTAGTGGTCCTGTAACACCGGTGGGTTGTCGGTTTGACACCCCCCGTTCCAGCCATCTCAGTCATTGTGTCCTTAGGCAAGACACTTCACCGAGGTTATGATAGTTTTGGATTTTTTGTTATACTTTAGTTTTATTCCGTTGTGACATTTTTTTATTGAGTTAGTTTTAATTAGTTTTTACAGTGGATTTGCTAGTTTTTAATAGTTATATTTGTTTGTTTAATGCTTAGTTTTAGTTTAGTTTTTATCAGTTCTTGTATTAGTTTTTTTTTGTAGTTTGAATAAAACATATTTGCCCATGCATCCTCCAGCTTGAAGTGTTCCTGTGAGTTAACTAAGCAGCAGATTTTTGAAAATCATCCTGTAACTCCGTTTTGCCAACAAAGGACTTGGGCAATTGTTTTAAGAAGGTGACAATAGTTGTCTACCGGTGCTACCTGGCTGGGGCTTGTTTTACATGGGCACTACTAAGAGAAGCTAGCTTAAGATACTCTGTTAGTTAGACCTTTGAGAAATATTCCATCTATTGTATCACCTGTTTCCACTACAAGACACTTTCTTTTAATTTTCTTGCAGTCATTTTCAAAGAATCAGACTTTGCTACATTCTCCCAACTTTTGTTGTCATTTTTCAGGCGAGCACTGAGCAACAGCAGATTGTAAACAAGCATTGTTGCAGACCATGAGGTGCTGTGCTTGTCACAGTTAATGTGAAACTGCTTAATTTGAAGAAAAAAAAGATTAGTTTATTCAGTCCACATAGCTCAAAATAAATTGGCAAACATTAAAACTAAGGATATTCTATTATTTCAGTTAGTTTTGTAAAAAGATTATAGAGTTTCATTTATCTTTTTTTATTTTATTACAGTTTCTATTTATTTTAGTTAACTAAAATGTTTTTTTCAATTTCAGTTTTCATCATTTAGTTAGCTTTAGTTAACTATAATAACCCTGCACTTCACCTGCCTTGCCTACTGATGGTGGTCAGAGTGGCCTGTGGCACACCCCAGGGCAGCTGTGGCTATGGTTTACCATCATCAGTGAGTGAATATGTGAATGAATGATGCATGAAATTGTAAAGCGTCTTTGAGGGTCTCAAAAAGCTCTATATAAGACCAATGCATTTATTTTTAACTGTTGTTTGCCCCTTTCCCTTCTTTGCTCCCCCCCAAAATGGCTGGAAAAGGTGCTGGTGTAGATTCTCAGTCACTCAGGATGTGGTAAATCCAAACAGAATCAAATAACAAAACAGCTGTGCTTCTTTTCTAGAGTTAAAAGTGTTTTTTACTCTCAGTTTAAAAAAAAAAAAACGAGAATGGGGAGTTCCAAGCTTTTTAAACTTAAACTATTAAACTTTGTAGATGAGAAGCTCCATTATGTAACTTCACATCCCTCACAATCTGCTTGCCTGGCTTACAGAGAGATGTTTTGGTCATGTGCATCATGTGAATTACAGTGAAGGGGGGG